CCTCGCCCGCGGGAAAAGCAAAGCGAGCCGGCTCGAGGTTTACAAACGGTCTTGTATTGATTATTAGTGCCAGGTCCGCGACAAACCTCCCCCCGACTCGTCTCCAATCTTCCCGCGGGCCGAGAAAAACCGTGTTACGTCTGCTCCCTGGCTTCTAAAGGAGAAAATTCTGAAGACTGATCACATCACCAAAAGCACACAGAATATGTTTCTAAATCGCTCTATTCAGCTCTTAGTATTCTGCTAAGCATATTTCTATGCACTTAAAATTCTTATCAGATAGGGGATCTCCCTACTTTCAAATCCTCTCCCTCACTGAGAGAGTTCACAGCCTTTAAACAATTTTTATAACGCATGAAATAACCAGTTATTTCAGTTAAACAGTTTATTGCAGTTTAATTTATTTCTTGTGCTCGACGCCTGAAGAGCAATAAAAACATTTTAAGAATGAAAGAATGCACTGACAAGCAACACTTAGTTGTAAATACCTTTAGGTATCCAACAGTGTTGTAAAATTGAATTCAAGGCGAAAACTTATGAAAGTATTATTAAGCAGAGAAGGCTCATTGTGGTAATCGTGATGAGCAATAAAAAGGATGAACATAAGTTTAGATTGGTTCGAGCATCGAAAAACTATGACGATACATGTTCACTACTTTGCGAGCAGTCCTTGCTCAGTCTTTCTGTGACTCCGCTGTCCGAGTGTACTCTGAGAAAGGGTCAGTGCTTCTTGGCGACACATCTCACTCGGTGTTGCACACGCTGTTAACATGACGGGATTCCTCTAGTATTACAGGTGACCACAGGAAGATGTCCATCACTCCTTAGTAGCGTTGGCGTAGAATAACCTTCTTGCTTCCAATTCGACATCTTGAGTTTCTCTTTAGTCTGAAGTAATGATTTGTGAGGAAGTAAGGAGAAGGTTGTTTCTAATCCTCGTCCTCTTCGTCACTGAAATAAGAACTCTGAACAATTTTGCCCTTTTTAGCGCTGCCGCCTCCGGTAGAAGTACTGCTCTGATTGGATGGTTCATCTTTAGAAGCCATTCTAGCGCACTCGTCGATAACAGCACTCAAGCTGAACTCGTAGGGGTCTTCACCAGCATCATCTTCTTCTTCTTCCTCGTCTTCATCTTCTTCATAGTCATCGCTATAAATAAATTACAATTACAATTTTGATCATCAAATTTTAGCAGAACAGAACCAAACGCTGTTGGAGTCGTCTGGACGACCTACAGAAAGTTAGAACTACACATCAAAAAATTAAACGTATAACTTGAGGTGTTAAGAGTCCTGCTCACGTCTTGCTAGGGTCACGTTTGACTAAAGCTTTGTGTGTAAATGTATTGGGAAAGATGGTACATTTGGAGCTTGACACATGTGAGCCAGCCTGTGCAACTCTCAGTAAGTGGAGACGCGAAAATCTGGCAAAAATGCTAAGCAGTTGCGGGATCCACGCTCTCATTTCGCGAACTCAATTTCTGCACACCCACTTTTGGCTGGTATCTACTGACTGAGAGACTAGAAAGCCTATCGAGTTCTTTGCGGCTCTATAGTAGAGCATTCGACCGCGAAATTGTCGGTGGTTCGAATCCCTAGGGAGACTAAGATTTTTCTTAGTCCAACGCAGGTGCACTACAGGTAAACTCTCTACTCAAAACTGAAAAAGTGATCAGCCTACTCTTGCTTCTTCCTCTTCTTTTGCTTTTTTAGGGGAGGCTCTCTATCTCCGAGCATGTTTTTTGGACACTGGTAACTTAAATGTCCATATTCCTGTTTAAAGAAAGGAACACCAGATCGTTAAAGAAGTTAGTGGATTACTCGTAGTTGTACACTAGCATGAATAAAAGAAAATCTCCACGAAAACTCAAGAAACTCCTGGAGACAAAGTTGATAAAGGATCCCCTTTTACCATCCACGCTAGGGTGACTAGGAGAAGAGAAACTTTAAGAAAGACATAAAAATTCTCCCGCTTCTCTCCTTTTTTAGTTTTCACGAAAACCTCCAGAGCTAGCTTCATTTCGTGAAGATCAGTCACCCGTATCGAATCGCGACCATAGAGGCAATATCCAAGATAATGGTGTGAATATGTAACTGTAAGAAATGAGAGCAAACAAAAGGCTTATGAATTGCACTTGAGTCATCTAAATCTTGATGAATCGGTAAATCTTTATTTGGTCAAATAGAAGCCAACATTTTTTTCCATTGATCTCTTTCCCTTGAGCCACCATTTTTTTTCGGTCTTAGCAAATATTCAGCTTTGCTCTGTAATCGGCTAAAACTAAGAATATCGTGCAAAACCTTTCATCAGCAAGATTAAAGATATACATGTCATTTACACACTAGTTTGTTAACGCCTTACTATGACATAACTTTTATAGTGTTTCCATTTTCAAAGATCGTAGGTAATAACACACCGACTTCATTCCCTCATGCGCCTTCACTTACGTTTGAGAACTTTGTGTTAATGTAAATTTGCTGGAACAAAGCGCGCTACCGATGTGATTTACCTGTAAAAGCACTGATATAACTCGGCTGTGTACAATACTAAACCCTGCCATATGAAGCCGAACGATACTCTTTCCTGATAACAATCTTTTCTTTAACCCATAAAATCAAGATTCAAGGGCAATACAAGATGTTACATTTACAGAGATAGTGCTAATTGTTCAATTAGTTTGTTGTAAGCGTCGAAGAACCAATCTCTGGCTGGGGCATGTTCCGTCATTGAAAGTAATTTCCAACTTGCATCGATTCCTAGAATTTCAAAGATTTTCTAGTTTCACACCAAGCAAAAGCGCTCAGTTATCACAGTTCGCGAACAACAACAACTAAAAATTTCAACTGTTGTCTCGGGTTTGGTGAGAAATATTTGAATAATTTCAGCACATTCGGCTGTTACATGTACGGATGTCCATGTTTCAAAGAGACATCAGCGCAAAGATTTCTACATGCTATGTCCATCATCAATATTTTAGGGGAAAACGCATTAGTTCAAGTGCAGTATACATCAATTAATGTGCATCTCTTTTCATACCAAGCTCATAACCTGAAAATAATTTTCAAGTTAGGACCTGGCATAGAAAGAAGAACACAGAGAAATTCCTTAGTCACGTCCTAAATTTCAGATGTTATAGTTTTGTAAAGAGCAAAAAAAAAAAATGACTTAGTTTCTAATACCAACAATTACAAAAATCCGCAATTAAAGTCTGTGAAATTAATCTTTGAACATTTTCACCATATAACTGAAACATCTTTCTGCTACATCTCTCATCAATATTTTGGGGAAAAGGGACATGGCATAAGTGCAAGGTGGAAGCCCTTTCTCTACCTGACTCTTAATCGGAAAATAATTTTCAAGTTAGAAACTGGCACGGGGAGAAATTCTTATGTGTCAAGTCCTAGATTTCAGAGATGTCCTAATTTCACACTGGGCAAAAACCACTTTGTTTACACATCTCACGAACTGCAACAAGTAAAACCTTTAAGCAATTATTTTCTATTTTAAGGAAAAAAATATTTAAACATTATCACCACAATTGAGAGATACAAAGAATCTTTCAGAAATCTGTCTGGGTAACATTTAATTATAAGCTATCTTTCCATCAATATTCATGGGAATAAATGAAATGGTGCAAGTGCAGTATCAAATAAATTGAACAAGGTGCATCTCTTTCTATACCATGCTCGTAACCTGAACACAATTTTCAAGCTAGGACCTGGCATGGGAAGAAATACCACAAAGACATCCATAGTTCAAGTCCTAAATTTTCACAGTTGTTTTAGTTTTGCATTGTGCAAAAGCACTCAGCTCATGCAGTTCACAGACACCTACAATTATCACAACTAAAGAATTCAGCCATTATTGTCTATTGTATGATAAATAAACATTTGCACATTTTTACCACATTCACTAATACATACAATCTATCAGAAATTTATCTATGCAACACCTATCTCTTATAGATGCCATCTCTATCATCAATACCCAAGAGAGATTTGTAGTGGTGTCAGAGCAGTACAAATTGAGCAAGATGCATCTCTTTCTATACCAGGCTCCTAACCTGAAAACAATCTTCAAGTTGGGACCTGACATGGAAAGAAATACTACAGAGAAATTTCTGTGTCACATCCAAGATTTTAACAGAAGTTTTGGTTTGGTACAGCACAAAAGCACTAAGTTCATACAGTTTGCAAACACCAACAACTACAGAATTCAACCAATTTGTTCAGTTGAATGATTAAGAAATGTCTGAAATGTTTACCACATTTTACAAATACGATCATGGTGAAAAAGGATATCTTCATTCTTAAAAATTAGAGGATATTTTAAAGTTAAAATAAGTACTCTCTTGATTGCCTGTGACAAGTTGCCTAAATACAGTTTTCCATCA